TGCTCCCGCTCCTGCTCCTGCTCCTCCCCCGCTATCCCTGCCCGAGGTTCTTCTCCCCACTCCGCGGCTCCGAGGCTGCGATGTGACTAAGGATCCGCGGCCACAGGTCAGCGGCCCCGTGGGCAACCCTGGCATGTGGCCCCACCAGCCTGCCTCCCAGGTTTGGGGTCTTGGCTCGTCCACGCCCACTAGGGTCACCCGCAGTGTCGCGTTTGCCAGTGTTGTGGGCCAAGCACTTTCGTGGGATAGAGGGACGATCGGGGAGTGCCAAGGCTGCTGTGTTGGCGCCTGTGGCCGACGGCTGGGAGTCAAGAGGTGGGAGTGCAGCCGGGAGGAGAGGGCAGAGCCTCTGGGCGCGCGGGCCTGTCCCGGCTCCGGCGAAGTTTGGGCCCCCAGCTGCCTGCCCTTCTCTGGGGCCCTGGGGCGGAGCGACTGATGGCGGCAGGGAGGATGGTGAGGGCAGCTCCTGGCGGTGGGCTTTCCTCGAGACCCCCGAGGCGGTGTCCAAGCAGGCGCTGTAAGCAATTCCAGGCGGTCCATCCTGAAACGAATCAGCAGGGTCAAGTAAAGCCCGGCTCCTCAGTGCTTCCCTTTGCACGGTGGGGGTTGCGGGGGAGCCGGATTCTGCTCTCTCCATGCTCTGAGGCCTAGAGGAGGAGTCCCCAGCGGACTTCGAACCTCCGACCGGTCCCTTCTTTGTGCATATTTGCCCCAAGTGGTCTGGGACCAATGCTGGGAGCGCAACTTGCCTGGGAAACCCAGCTCAGCCCAAAGATCCTGGTATACTGTCTGCCCACCAGGGACGCACAGGGGCTGCAGGAGGGTGTGCGGCAACCCAGCCGCACTCAGAATTCTGAGCGGTGGGGAGGTACTGTGCCTTTATGGACAGGAGGTGGGGAAGGGGGTCCTGCTGGGTGGGCCTGACGGAGCCTGTCTGGAGGCTCCCCTGAGGGAGCCACGTGTGCCCAGGGGAGGCGGAACTGGGCGGACAGATGGGCGGCCACAATTCTCCAGAGGCAGCCTACCTGCGCTGGGGAAAACACTTCTGGAATTAGGGCTTGCTTCACCCACAACTACGAAGACGGGGGTGGGGGGCCAGTCTCAGCACACTAGACTCCCTTGGGGCAGCGCTGAGGTGCAGCCCAGACAGCAAAGGCCGCCGCGTGTCCTGGGTCTCATCCATCCCTCCAGCCTCCTGCACTCAGCCAAACCTCTGCTCCCCACCCCTTACCTATCCCCCGCGACTGGAAGCCAAGCCTCGGTTTTCCGGGCTGTAAAATGGTATCATAGCTCCCACCTCGCACCCTGCTCTGGGAGAAATGGGGGTCTTGGCTTCACTGTTCATGGCATGCAGAGCAGACGTCTCAGCCCAGGCCCTAGCCTTGCATCGAGCCCCGAGGAATCAGACCCAGCGACCCTCACCCGCGCCTCACCTTCCTGATCCACGCAAGGGAGCTCCCAGTCAGGCCTCCTATCGCACGGCAGTGGAGGTGCGGCCGGCAGGGGGAGCGAGGAGGAAGGGAACCGCGGCCGGGCCAGGTGAGGGTGGAACACTTGCCGCGGGCCGTGCCGAGGCGCTGCGTTCGCGTGCGGAACCCGCATGTGCGGGGCTAGGGCCACCCGACCGGTGCTCTCCCTCCGGGCTGCGGGAGGGCACGGCGGGTGGGGTGGTGGCAGGTGAAGAGGGAGGATGGGTGGCGGGGCCGCGGAGCGCAGCGGGGTGGTGCCCTAGGCGGGAGGGAGTATCGGAGGAGCCCTATCTCAATGAGCGGTGGAGGCGGCGGCTCCGGCTGGAGGCTCAGAGGGCCTCGCGCTTCGAGGGCTTCCGGACCCCTTTAGCCGAGGGCTCCCGAGGGTCCCAGCGTTGAGCAGCGGTGTCTGGGGGTCCGAAATCGAGCGAGTGAGTATAGGCAGCCGGCGGGGCAGGGTCGGCGACGGAGCTGGGCTGGGTGGGGCCCCGCACCTCTTCCCGTCGCCCTTCTGGTTGACCAGAGTTTCCTCCACCCTGACGGCCTCTTCTCTGCTGTGTGGCGCTGGCCGCCCCTGCCTGCCTTCAGGTCCTGCTCAGGCACTAAGGGGTTAATGGGGGCTGGAAGGACTCTGCTCCTCCTTACATACCTCAGGCGCAGAGGTCTGGGGACCTCTAGACCGATCCTTGAGAGGCTGATCCAGAGTCTCCAGGAGGCCCCAGGGTTTTTCACTTTCACTTCTCCGTCCTCAGTGTTCGCCTCACCCACAGGCCCCACATCTGGCCACTGCCCTGAGGTGTGTGCAGATGTGCACAGCACACAAGCTTGGGCACACCCACAGGCTGGGGCACATGCAGGAGTCCCACCCCCATACCCCCACCGACCAACCCAGGCCTCTCTGGGTGCAGACCGCCAACATAGGCATGTCTCCTGCAACACTACCAAATCTGTGGCCACCAGCATCCTTCCCACCTGCCTCCAGCAAGACTGTCGCTTCCCGCAGGAGCGGCTCCTGGGGGCAATGACTGGTCCTGCTCAGAGAAAAAGGAAAGGGGCCTGGAACCAACTGGTCCATCCCCACACAGCACTCCTCACTGGACCTGTCCCTGGGTCTCCTCAGTGACACTGAGAGACACAAGTCATTGTCACTGTCATGGCCCAGAATGACTACTCAGGGCAAGAGAAATGCACTGGGGACAGCTTCCCTTTTCTGACATGGCCCACAAAGCTCCAGCTGCAGGTGGCAGGGGCTGCGAGGGGCAGGACCTGGGGCACCCCATACAGGCAGTGACACACACCACATCCCAGACAGGCAGCACTATTCGTATACTCACCCGCTGTGGCCCTGGACTCACATGCATTCCTGGACCTCAGTCCCAGGGCCAGCCTCCCTACTGGCACCCAGTCCCCCAGCCCCAGTTACCGGGCCTTCCCAGTTCCCAGCCAGCATCCTCTGCAGCCCAGGGTCTGAGGCCCTGAGATCCTAAAACATCTGGGAGAGGCTGCCTGCCTCTCACTTGCATCCCAAGCACACGAAAGTGAAGGCTACACTTGATGAGGTTGTATACAGACAGGCCTTGCAAACCGTGGCCCTGACCACCAGCACTAGCTCCAGCAAGGCACAGAGATTCCAGGGTTGACACCCAGCTGGAGAGACCCTGGACAGGAAAGCCATAGGTGCACTGAACTGGTCAGAGGAGACCCCGGATACAGTAGGTGGGGGAACACACAGGCCAAGTCAGGCCTTGGCGTATGGGATGCCTGGGCCTAGAAACCAGGCTGAGGGGCGGGCCTTGGCCTCACTCTGCCCAGCCTGGTCGCGCCACGGAGCTTCTCCCGGAAGGCAGGCTGGCTGCTGGGTGCCGAGGGGCAGCATCAGATCCAGTGGCCTGAAGTTCTCCAACATGTCCTCGTGTCCTCGGCTCCCTCGGCTGGCCAGGCCCCGCCCCCGGCCCTCCCT